ACTCTAATTGGAAAAGGAAGAGAATCTAGCCTGGCTGACACCTGGGGTTTAACTGCAGAGCCATCTTTTTCCTATGAAGTAGAGAATTTTAATCATGACTTATCTCCAGCTCTTGCTGTATACTGTCAGAAAGCAGTGAAAGAGGAGGTTAATGGATGCCTTGCTTTTATGAGACAGGAGAAAAAAATGGGGCCTTGGGAAGGACATCTGTCTTGTTCCGTGTGCACTTAAAAGGTTTTTATTGAGGCATGAAAGGTTGCGTTGTTCCATGCTTTGTCTTTTTGTTGCCTATCCAGGCAGTGATGTGCTGCCAACAATTCAATAAAGGAATTTCTCAAAATATATCCTATTAACTTACCTTAAACCTCATGTATATGGTATGTGGGTACTCACAGAAGACAAGAAAAAAAAATCTTCTCTTCCCCATTAAATCCAGAAACAGTATCTAGTGAGCGAGACAGTGACATTGAAGAGGCAGAATTACGTGAACTGTACTTGTCAGGCATATATTATTGGGGGGGAGGGGAAGAGCCCGAGTTTGTTAATGTTCAAAGTGTGATTTTTCAACTGTCTTTTGAACTGGGATGGAGAAAAAAAAGTAGTTCTCTGAGAGCTTTGGAAATGTCTGTTCTATGAGTGTTTTTCCTTAAATGCTTGATATATGCTGGGTGCATTTACTCAAGTTGTGTATGTGTGAACTTCAGTGAGCAATGTCAGAGGAGAAAGGGATAATTTGGTACTGTGACCTGAGGACAGAGTAAATGAGATGGTAAGATTACCTCCAAAGCCCACTCTTCAGTTCGGTATAATAGTTTAAATGATTTCTATACTCTCCAATCTATGAGGCAAAAGAAACAAATGCAATAGAACTGACTCGAAGTCAATAGTCTCTGGATATATGAATTATCTGGACTTCTTTCTGCCCACTACTTTATGTGTATGTTTTGAACTCTGGGAGTAAATGAGGATTTATTAGTCAAATATTGTGGGCACATGTCTAGGTGTCTAGTGAGGTACTCAGCCTGTGGATTGACCCAGATGTACAAATTTGTGCAGTATAAACAATACTCTGATAAGTACTGGACACAAAAAAGGCTCCAAGCCTGGCCCGGAATTTGGCATAACACTGTCTTTGCCCTTCATCTCCACTGGCTGCATGACCAAAGGAACAATTCCATAATTAAATATCAAGTTCTAGTTTGTTGTCCTGTTCTTGCTTTGATGTAAGGAAAAGATAGCAACAGAGTGAGAGTGAGCCCACAGAAGTACCTTGTGATAACTGCAACACTCAAACCTCAAGCAGAACATCAGTATCACAAGGTACTTCTGTGGGCTTTGATCTGTATAACGTCAAGTGGTGTTGCAGGCTTCCCATATAAGGAGCGGCAGAATGTTTGAAATTCAGGGAAATATTTCAGCTTTCATTGCTTCTGGAGACATTTCACTGTTGAAAATCCCACTCTGGCAGACAAAGTAATCAAGTGCAAAAACTGGAAACCATTCCTGGACCGTGGCTTAAGCCAGTTCTTATTTTGTCTTAATTTGTCTGTGTCTTGTGTTAGGTAAAATAAAGTATGTTTCCATTTTGGTATCCTTGTAATACACTGTCAGCTAAGAAGTGCCCCTGCTGAGGGCAAACAGTAAATCAATGGATTGCAAGGACAGACAGTATGTGCATTTGGGAGTTTAGTTCTGAGAGAGCTCACGCTGGGAAATGGATTTTTGCCCAGGAAGTGTGCCAGCTTGGATAAGGAAACCAGGTGGTAGTGCTGGACCCTTAGGACCGAGAAGGTGCTCAACAAGCCCAACATGCCCCATTATGAGTGTCCATCCAGGGCAGCTGTGGGAGGGCTCTCTGACAGGGCTGTTTACACTGGAATGCTGCTTTTCACAGATAATACATCAATATCAATGTCAACAGTAGCTTCCTGTTTTCTGCAACAAAGCAAGCTGTGTGAACCAACAGGAAGGAGAGCTGCTGCCTCTCCAGCAAGCTCTGGTGGTCAGTACCACACAGATGTTTTGCAGCTCGCAGTTCGAGCAGCTGACCGTCCCTGTAGTACTTGGACTGTTGTGTAGGACACATGATACCATAGCAGTACTACTGAAAAGCCTACATTTATATAGAAACAATCCCATTCTGCAATTGTCCATAGTATATGCAATTTCTAAAATGAGTTTTATTTATCTCTCTTCTCTCTCTGTCCTATGGTTAGTGTGGTACTCCTCAAATACAGAATTTGTAAATATGCTTGATTATTTCCAGCTTCTTACTCAGTTCCTTTGCATTTTACTATAAGAAAACGTGACCTAAATACAAGCTTTATAAGATCTTCATCCCCATTTATTAAAAAGCATTAACATTCCATTTGCTGACTAATATCTATTTCCCTCTGATATCTATTTCTCTCTGAGTGCATAGGTGAGGGGGAGTGGTCTATATTTGTATCTTTCTAAAAGAACCTCATCTCTCTCTGGTGAGTAAGTACTGGATTATTTTGGAGTGTTTGTATTTAAGAACTAGTTATTTCGAAGCTCACGAACCAAGCATCTCATCAGCTTTTGAGGAAGCTTGAGAGTAATACCTTTCAGGAAGTGTCCACAATCAGTTTGAGGCTTTTTATTGCTGTTTGCTCTGTGCTGTTCACATTAATAGGACTTGTGGATATGGGCATGGATCCCCTGAAAGTCCCTATAATCGCAGAAACCATTTAGTTACTGCTTTTATGCCCACGTCATGATGGATGTTTTCTGGGTGTCCCAAACACTGAGATGCACAAATCCGTTCCTGTTTTGCAGCGGCTGAAATGCCGCTCTCAAGCCTTACCATCTTGCAACTTCAGCGTATCTGACACCAATAGAAACGTGCTGCTCTAGCTGTGGAAATTCATATTTGGAGCTGCAGATCTTTTTTTGGCAGAAGATGGGAAGGTTATGATTGCAATTGAGATAAGTCAACTCATCAACTTCGTAACTGCTGTCAGGTTGCCATGGAAGTGAATAGCACTTCCTGGTGATGCTGTCAGCAATGGCAATTGGTTAATGATGGTCCATCCCTGATTTCAGATATATGAATTGGATGGACTAAGATGAGCTTAGGTTCGTAAGTGTACTTTGCTCTGAAGGGAGAGCTTTTTAAATCTGTCTGCTTAGCAGTTCCCAATGTGGTAGATGATCAAATTGGTTTCAGGATAATTTGAGGGGATAGGGAAGAATCTTGTGCTAGTTCACTGCAAATATAAATAGCTGAGTTAGCAAAAATTATGTAAAATTTGAGGAAATTATTGTTTAGTGCATTCAAGTGTATTGGATGCCCCAAGTGGACATACATGGGTTAGCAGAACACTGAAGAACAAATGTCTGTTTGCCTGCATGCTGGAAATGTAGGGAGGTATCCTGGCAGCCAGCCTAAATTCTTGTGTTTTAACAGTAGTATGAGATGATTTAAGTCCAAGATTTCAGCTATAGCCTTCTGAGAGCACTGCTCATTCAATATAGTGAATTCAATATATATTTAACATATATTCAATATCATGAATTAGAAGGGCTCAGTGTGTGACTGACATGATAGGGGCATTTTCAGCAATTTTTACTGGTTCCTCGTAGCATAAAGTGGCTAGTTTAGCATTCCTGTTCTTGAAGTATTACAGTTGATTGGCCTAAAAAATAGGTAAAATAAGGATAAACTGTTAGATTGTCTTCTCAGCCATAGTAGAATGGGTAGCAATCCTCTGTAAAAGAAACAGAGGTGGCTTGATAGTTCATCTAAAAAATGTTGCCATATCACATGTCTTTTCCCCTCCCAAACACAAATCACAGTTCTTCAACTTTGCCTTTAATAACTGAAATGTTTAACAGCTGGAAAAAAGCAAGCCTAAGTGGAAAAAGAACTGCAGGATGATCTCAAGTACTTTTCTTGTGTGCCTCACAAGGATGTTCTGTTGTTACTGTGGTGATAAGGATAAGCATGAGAACTGAAATCGAACAGGTGAGAGACGGGTTCTTGCAAACTTTTTGCAGAGGGAAGGAAGCAATGCCTTGGACGATTGCTAGCAATAATTTGGGAGGGTTCTTTTTAGCATCTGTTGCAATTTTGTGACAACGCATTGGTGAACAAAAGCTATTTGAGGTTGAAATGAAGGAAGGAGGAAAGGGAAGTTGTTAGGAATTGCATGAAGTACAATAGATGACATCACACCATTGTAAATTCATGCTGAAGTAATAGTCAAGGAACTGAAATCAAAGTTTTGAGGAGGTGCTTCGATAGGGCTGACCCAGCTTTCTCCGAAGTCAATCAAGATCTTTCAGTTAATTTGAGGAGGGCTGGGTCAAATCTGATTGAACTCCATTTCTTTTCCCAGACAATGAAAGGCTGAGATGAGGCTTTCTAACAGGGGAAAAAATGTTAAATGGGCCATCAGAAGAATGAAATCACAGGATGTTTAAAACCTTTTAAGAAAGCCAATGAAAGTGAGCGGTAATGATTCCAGTTTTCCAGAGAGATGATAAATAGTCTAGGATCCCAAAGGACTCCTTCCTGTGCTGCGTGCTGGCTTTTCTGGAGAAAGGTCAACAAAAATGCTTAATATACTAGTGCTGTATTATTTTACAAAGGCAAACAAATGTATTTTTTTTCCCTGAAGTAAAATATAAGTATCTTGTACATATCTAAGCTGTCTCTCTTGTACCCTGAGGTAAAACCGAGCAAGGATTATGGTTTACTTTTTCTTTTCCATATGGATGGAAAGCCATAGACACTATTGACATTTCTAGTGACAGGATGAATTTATCCCATTAGTTTTAATGCAGACAAGGTTAGAGCTGAGCCAAAGTACTGTAGATTAGCATGACAGAAGCAATAAACTTGTTCACAGAGCAGCAAAGATGTAGTGAATGAAATGCCTCTCTTACTCCATCTGCAACCCAGAGGCACTTCTGGATGAGGAGGGGTCAGCTAGTGAGCTTTAGCTGATGACACTTTTGTTCTTTTCTGTCTTCAGATATCTCAGCTTATGACAGAGACTAGTCGAGAGGGCCTGACTGAAGCAGCATTGAACCGCTACAATGCAGATAAACCCTCCTTGTACAGCTTCCCTGCTTCCCAGAGCACATATGTTGCCAGTGAAGTATCCACAGGCACCTCGGTGGCAGCATCATTTTTTGCCAGGTAAGAGAGATTTCTCAGATTTTCCTTCTCTGGAAACATAATTTCTTTCAAAGGAGATGATTCTGTAGCGAAGAAGTGGGGTTGACAGTCTACAGCACATGTCAAAACATGGCTATAGATACAGATCTATCACAAACTTGCTGAGTTGCCATGAAAATGTTGTTTAATCCACCTGTATGCATTTGTCTGTAAGATGGGGATGATACTTCTACCCTCTTCTGTAAAATATCTCTTTAACTCTTGATTTGGGTTAAAATGTGATTGCGCTCCCAGAATAATACCTGATTTAGTGACATTTTTAGAGGGGTGTATCCCTGAACGAGAAGGGCCCATCCAAGTAATTTTCTGAGATAGTAGAGCTAACTGGAGGTGGATAGTTCTGTTTGGCAGGCAACCTTCAGGCTTCTTAATTGAATTGTACTTCCATCTAAGGAAATTATCAAGATTTCCACTTTCAGACTGAAAAGTTAAGGTTTCTCATTTCAGTTTCTGGCCCTGTCATGCCGTTGAATTGACCTGAGGGTCTAAACTCAGCCTTAGAACACCCTTTCTGTTGAATATTCAGCCAATGTTTCAAAAAATCTCAATGAGATAAAGTTTCATTAAAAAAATCTTCTGGCTATCTTTATTAATTTCTTAGTAAAAATGGTTTGTTAAATGGGCATAGCAGCTAATAAGTGAAATATCCATTATCAACAACAGAAATATTTTTTTGTGCAGAAATATGCTTTTTGCAGAACATAATCTTTTTAGCCCACTTGAATCCTTATGTAACTGAAGAAGTTGAAATAATCCTTGTCTTTTAATGCTTTTCAATAATTAGAAGATTGACTTGGGAAGAGTTGTGAAAGTAATGAAATAGCAAGAGAATAAGCTGTTTTTACAGCACTTGCAATCCACTCTAGTGAGAGATCTGAATTTCAAAACATGGAGTGAACTTTTGAGTGAACGCCTCAGGCATATTCATATTAACTTCCTGCCCTTTAGAGAGCCAACTATTAGGAATTCCACATGATTCTGTTTTATTTTAAAGGTAAATGGAAAACTTACAAAGTTGTTGGACTCTGTAAATCTGGAAAGAAGATTTTCCTCTCTATTTCTCCTCACAAACATGAGGACTGCATATGTTCAGTGTCACACAATAAGTGAATCGTGTAAGAGGATTAATGGTAGCATTTCAGAAGACCCAGTGAACATTGTTTGGGGCAGCTCTGCCACTTTTTCTTTACAGATGTGATGCTGCAATAGCAAATGTGAATGATGACAGTGGTCTTGATTTGCTGCCCTTTTCCGTTTAACTGCAGGCAGTTTAAATTAAAATTGCTGAATGTACTCATATGGTAATATCTAACCGGAGTGCAGATTGGGATTAGCACATATTTTAGCATGTATTGATTTATGAAGCTGGCTTAATTCATTTGTTCTTCATTGTTTCACTGTTTAGGCTGAAAGAATTCATTTGCTCTTAATATACTCTGTTCAAATGTAGGAAACTAATTAAATTTACTCAAAATCCCTAGTGTAAATCACAGCATTTTAACTAGAACTCTGTTAGTTTCTAGCTGATGGTGTGAATTCTTGGGTATGCTTGGCCCAGCAGAGATCTCATGTTTAGGCTGTTTATTTTTAAACTGTATTTAGCAAGACAAAAATGCCTGATTTAGTTTGGGGTTTTACATAATTAGATTAATATCACTTATATAAGTCAGTTTTGCACTTCGAGTTTTATCATCTGCTGACAGTTTAAGCAGCAAATCCAAGTCAGTTGTTCACTGCTTGACCTTTTAACAAGAAAATCCACAACTTGTTTTCAAAATGCGGATCTCTTATTAATTTGTGTTTTGCATCTTATGTGTCTATTTGCGTTTTTGTAAAGTTGGGGTAAGAAGCGTAAGAACCCACATGTATGCGTATTACAAAGTACGAAGAAGGCGGCAGTGGTTGTCAAACTCATTAACATGGTGCACTGTTTACAATATGAAACAGTCATTCGTATCAGGCATATGAATTCTAAACTTGCTTTTTCTGATTGTAAGTGGCACACGGAGTGGTGACTACCAGCTGTGCCTGTTTTTTTTTTTTGAACGTGTGTCACATACGATGTTTTCATGGTCAGTAAGTAAGAAATTATTACACAGCCAGGGAAATTTGCTAATGTGAAGCTGAAGTTGGAAGTAGAAAAGTAGAAAATATTCTTTTGGAATTTGAATAATATCCCACAGTATTTCACTCTAAGTTCCCTAACAAGCAAAGCAAACCTCGGATGAGGCTCAGATATAAAAGTCATCCATCATCAGGAAAAAACCCCAATTAAATAAAATACTATAGTATGGAGGAAATGTCAAGGCATCTATGGGAACTTTTGGTTGTAATTACTTGAGAAACATCAGGAGTGGAATACTGGGAGCTCATAATTTTTCTGTTCTCAGGCACTATTAGTCCAACAGGGATACTCACTTGACTGGCCTACAGCTGGCATTGAGCCACGGAGAAGTGTCTGAAGGCCATGGTGACTCTCAATCTTTTGAAAAGCCAGGAGACTTATCAGTTGTCTCAATACTTGACTGTTCTGTTTCATGATCTATAACTGACAGATTTCAAAGCCAGCTAAAAGGGCTGCAACTTCTGTGAATTGTCATTTGTCAGGATATCGCTGCAAGAGAACCTATGATATGTCAGGATTCCCATGGGACAGAACTTTTGCCTCCAGTTTGGATCTTTGTCATAAAAAGCACTCCATTTTTGGGCCATCACAGTCTAAGGTGTATTAGCCTCTTGCCTTGTGTCCTCCAAGCACAATGTAGGAGTGTGCCACCTCCAGTTAAGGGAGAAGTATATACCGATGCTGATGCTGCCAAAGAACTGAGGGAAGGACCTTCTGTTGCTTGTCTCCCTGGTGTCTCTGTGAAGCTCTAGCAGGTCAAGGGGCATTGTACTGAACCTTGTTCCTATCTATGTTGGTTTCTACATGGAGAAAATTTCTGGGACTCCTGACTTCAGCTTTGGCCTGATGACTCCATAAATAAACCTGCTCTTCTGAATAAAACTGCTCTGTTGTGACTGGGTTGTAGAGTTTCAATAGTCTCTCAAAGGGTGATAGCACGGTGCACGAACTAGAAGTCAAAACTGGACCAGAGCCTTTCAGTTGTCCTTACAATACCTAGAGGTCTTTGGGATCTTGATACTGTTCCTTGTTTGCCCTGTCACAGTAAGCTTGCTTTCTTGAGAAGAAAAACTTTTATTGCATCAGAACAAAGGAGAAACATAAAAGCCCATTTCACTTTGGACCTCAAAAAAGGTAAAAATTTTTGAGGAAGAGATATTTTTAAATGGTAGTCTTGAAAGTTGTTTCCTGTTGCTGGTCAGGGAGTGTAACAGTGTATCTTGAACAAAAGCCCACCTCAGTCTGAAATCAGACATAGTTGTATTTGGATTAATTGAGCCTAATGGGAATATAGATAATCTTGAAATTAGGCTGAAAAATCTGTTCTAGGGATCATTTTCCCTGTATTTATACAGCTTAAATACTAAGCAGGGCCACACAATGCTACTTTGTAGATGTAGCGAGGCATGTTTTTCAAATGAAATGCAGAAATGTCCAGATTTTTAAAAAACTTCTTATTTTGAGACAAACTAAAAATAGAAAACCTTAGCTTCACGTATAACTGACATGCAGCTACTCAGCATGGGATAAGCTCTAGTTACAGTTACCTCCATTCTTGGAAAAACTGCTGATGACCCTTTCCATGCTCATTCACCATCCCTGTGTAGTTTGGCAGTTGGGGGAGGAAGAGATGAGGCAGTACCTTACTACCGAGAGGTATTGTGAGTGTTGTGTTCAAAACGCTGCTGAATGCTCCACACATTTCCCTTCCACTCCTGAGAATCCTTTTTGAATCTTTTTAAAAATTCTGGTACATATTGCATGAACTACAAAGCTTATATGAGGACACTATTTGTGGGACCCTTTTGTTAAAGCCACTGTGCTGTTTCGATGACTTAGCACGCCAGAGACCCCAGGATCTCATACCTCGCTGTTTTTTGCAGACACGTGATAAACTATCAGCTTATCGCACAACTTTTTGATGTTTGCTGTTTTTCCTTATAGGTGCAATATTATGTGACTTTTGTTGAAACTTAAAGTAAGGAGCTAGTCTGCACAATCTTTCTGCTTATGGGGAAAATTTTTAAAGCCCAAAGGCTTAGAATCCAGGAACACTAGGACTTTTCCTTAAAGACTGTGTATTGTTTTAAATTAATCATACCATGTGGAGGTCCTGGCTTGAATTTTTTGGAGGTCTGGGGGAAGTTCACAAAAACAAACTTTTCCTAGCATTGCAACAGAGGGTTTGTCAGAACATGCACAGCAAAAACAGGTAAGAAACAGAGGCAGCAGCTAGTAGAGAAGGAAATGGGTTGGAGTGGGTATTCCTGTGCCACAGAGCCTAGCTTTGGCTTGGGAAGCTCCACGGGAGAGACATTTAATTTGTGTCAGTAGTCCGGCTGTAACTGGCGTAGCTGAAGCATTACACTAGCAGTTGTGTAGCCAGGTCAGGAATCTCTTTGTGCAGGTGCACAGCAGGCTGTGTAGACATACCCCGGGCATCGGTGCTGCCAAGGCCTGAGACACCTCTTAGGAAAGAGCCTGTGAACATTGTCAGAGAGCAAAAGTTGCTTGTCCCACGCTCTGTGCCTTTCTGAAGAAAGTTCTGTTGAAGTTTTGAATGTTTTTAAATGGTCTGAACTGCAGGTGACTCACATGACAGTGTTTCTTCATACTGAAGAGTGGTGGATGCAACTGCTCTTTCAAGCCATGCAGTGGTTCCCTAGTTTAGGGACTGCTTGAGAAGTCCTTGATGTCAAATTGTGGTGACCTCAACATCCCTAAGAGAAAATTATTTTATGAGACTTAGGTGAAAACATATTTTTGGTTTCTTGCTGTCTAAACTATGCAGAACCTAACAGGATTTTCTTTCATTAGCTGAACAAACTAAATTTAATGGTTAAATTGTGGTCAGTCTCTCAGACATTTTGAAGAACTGTATATTAACAACTCTGATCAGAATTTCTACTCTTTTCCCTCATCCTTATCATATACTGCATAAGAAATACGTAAAAAGAAGAATGTTAAGATAAAACATCCATAGACTGTCTTTCAATAGGAATGCTGGCAGCAAGTTTTAAAACATCTGTAAATCATTTTCACAAATATTTGTACCTTCAAAGCCTGTCTTGGGGCTGATTAGTAGGGGAAACTTCAATCACAATGATCTCAGTCAACCTGAAAGACCATGAAACAAATATTTAAAATTGGCACCTAGGTTTGAGTGCACAACTTCAGGGGCTGTTTTTCATACTTGCTCAACATTCATCAGAAATGTAGGAGATCTATGTTCATAGTCACTGCTTTTCTGTGCTCCCCATTGCTGTGAAAGCCCTAAATAAAAGGCCGTTTCTACTTCCTGTTATTGGTGTTATTTCATGTGTATAAAGTAAATGCCAATCAAAAGGGAATCTTGACTCTCCTGAGCCAAAGGTGGCTGGCAGTGGGGGTATAAAGAATACTCTTTTCTATGGTTCAATGTAAACAAAATAAAAATGTGCTGGCAGGAAAGGCTGTGTGACCTACATGCAAGAATAGCCAGTGCCTAGTAGTGGACACAATGATCTGATATGCAATAAAAAAATTAGGACTTAAGTGCCACATCTGGATGAGGGAAAGCAAAGGTATTTGAATGATTTCTGATTTTGCATGGTAGTTCTATCTTGGGTCCCAAACAATTTCCAGTGATGTTTTTTTTTTTCCCAGAGCTGACACATTCCCCGTGGCACTTTTGTTTGAATCAGTTCATATCTTTTGATTACAAAAAAGTTTAGCAACAAGATTCCAGACTAGGTCCATTTCTAACAGGAAGTGTGTAGGGTACATGTCCGAATCCATGGTGTCTGAATCTTTGGGTACTTGCATGCTGCCGTTATTTAAACAAAAACTTAAGAAAATGTATGCACTTTTAGACCTGGGTTGGAAAACTAGTTGTGATATGTTTAATTTGGCATTGGGCTGTAAACAGAAATAATTTGAACCTTCACGCCAATTAGATCCACTATATGTTGGCTGCAGATTAATAGCTTTCATTCACAGCTTAAAATACAGATAATGGACCTTGATTTCTAAACAGGATTTTGGGAGTGATCCATGGAGCTATTAAAAGAAATAAGCTAAAATTACCCTTAGATTATCGTAGAATACTATACTTGCAGGGGCATGCCATCTGCTTAGCCTCAAAGCACATAACTGATAAAAAGGATGTAAATCCTCCTCATGTTCCTAGTATCAAAATAATCCACTTTAGATGTAAGGGGCGCTTACCTTAAGTTAAGAAATACAGTTTTCTGGACTAAGCATGTTTGAAAACTAATTATTTAGAACAATCTAAAGTAAAAGATTACTATCCAGGAACAATTTATTGACCATTGAACAGAGAAATTAAAATTCCAATCCACGAAAGGTATGCTACTTTGATGTTATGTCTGTATTGAAATATGCTACACCTGCTTCCATGCACTGCACAAGGCGAGTGTTTTCTGATCTGCATTTGCCGCACATATGGTATGTTTTGTATTGACGGTAATGGCAATCACTGAATAATGTCATTATTGAAATGGTCATCAAGATTTGGAGTTTCCTGTGTAACTAGCCTTTCACAGTCTTGAGAAATCTTGATAATTTTCTAAGTAAAGGTCCCCTTTCCTCCCTTTTTCTTTGGCAAGTTTTGAGATACTGTGTTGTTTTTCTGTGATGCAATCCCCAATTCCATCTTACGAATATCTGGTTCTGTAAAGCAAAGGACACATACCATGAAAGTTTTTCTGCTTAAGAGATTATTTTAAAATGGATGTCTTGTCTCATTATATTAATTGTTTCTAATATATATTGTCTGAAAATCAGAATCTGAAAGTTTTTGATTCCTGTAAGAATCTGTGATGTTTAGTTACAATTTTTTGTTTCTGTAAATGTGAGTGCTTTGCAT